ACATTATAAACTTTTATCATTGAATAAAGCACATAATCATTACCTCAGATTATCACTGTTGTATGTTGTTCCTGCCGCGACGTCGCAGAAAATAAAAAGCGTTCCTAAAATAGGATCCCATGTCGCTTATTGTCATGTGTCGCTGTTGCGAGAGGTTAGGACAAAAACTACAGGGAAAATATACTTTTTATCGCATCGTGTCTGGTTGGGACACACGGTGTTACAGTTTGATCTCCCCCCAAAAAAATCTAAGCATAAAAATATAAATACCGACAAATCTAATAATTGAATCTGTAATTATAGGGCAAGTATATATATATATATATATAGGTCAGTGGCCCTTGGCTTGGTTTTGTTGGCAGAATTCGGCCCTCGGCGAAAACTAATTGAGGAACCCTGGTATAAACAATTTTAAAATGTATAAAGCAGTTTTCATTTTCGTTTAGATTGATTGGTAATATGAACTAAATTTAGATATAATCAAATTAGATGCACCAAATAAGATGAATACATTTTAAGATGGATACATTTTACTCTCTCACTCTCTTTTTCATATTTATTTTATTAAATCCATTATAATTTATTTACATACATTTATTAGGCTTAATGATTGACCAGGCATGCTCTCTGTGTATATTCCTGTTTTTGTTTTCTTATGAAAGCTTATTGAGACTGTTAATTTTTCGTAATTTTATTAATTATTTTTTTATTAATTTCACATACAATAAATTGATTGCCCAGACATGATCTCTGCATATGTTTATTTATTCCCCCCCCCCCCCCTTTGCAGATTTGTACGAAGTAAATGCAATAATAACTTTTATATTGTTAGTAATATTTCAAGATTAACACTTACTGGACTGTATAGCAACTTAGGTTTACTTTTATTATCCATACATAATTTATTTTATTTTATTTTTTTGAAAAGTTATGTTAAAGTGTGAGTATGTCAAATATGATGCATCAGGCTTCTGAGGAACATGTATTTGTCCATCTCTCAATCATCATTTTATTGCATTGCATTATATGTTTTGCCCCCAACAATACAAACTACAGAGCTTTGATCATTGTGTATGAATAAACTGTTCCATTTCAAAACAATTAATGTCCGGCTTTACATAGTTAAATTCCATTATTATTATTTGTTTCTCTCTCTCTCTCTGTCCTTAAATGGGTGCAGTACACTCTGCCCACTTGTTCTTTAGAGGCATCAATCAAAAGTTTAATCCGGATCATTTAGGGAGGCAACACTGCTTAGATGGTAGAAAATTGTTGTGAGTGCGCATTTTCCTCTATAATCTTGCAGGACATTTTAGATCAAAACCTTCAAGTACTTTAGGGTCATATTTACTGTGAGAGGGAGGGAAGTAATCACCTATAAATGTACATCAATGCTGTTAGTTTGAAAGATTAATCAATATCCTTCTGCATCTCTTCCTCTCTGAAAGGTTTTGCTGCTCCAAGCGAAGAACATAATAAAAATCTTCCCGATATGACACAATGGAAATTACTATTTAACATTACATACACTTGCCCCCGCCCATTAAAGCTTGTAGACATATACAGCTATGGTATTTATATTCAAATCATATCTTAAATTTTGGCAAAGGTACTGTACATCGCTGATAAGTTACAAAATGTGTTTTGCAACCTTAGTGAACTTAGAAACTATATTGAACAGCTCCAAGAACTCCAATGAGCATATCCTTCTATAATGCATCTTCAAGTTATTTATTGCGTTGAGAGCATGTTTGATTATGGTATTATTTGCAGCAGACACTACAGAGTTGATGAGCTTTATTATATGATTACCGTACAATATCTAATTACACAGCATCAGCAGCCCCAGACAGACTCACTGGTTTACATACAGATTTACACACTATGAAAGCAACAAGCGTCAGTCTCTTGGGTTTGCAAGCACAATTTATACCCGCAGTGGAAATACAGAAAAAAATATGATTCTGAGATTGTTTTGAGATTATGAGCAAATAAGGCATACAGCAGTATTATTAAACATGATGCAGTGTCATATCATGTTTGGGTCAAATTTGGGTCAAATTTGGGTTGAAACAATCAAGCGGCAACCTTTCCGGTCTCTCTCGTGAAACCAACACGGAAGTGACTAAAACTGCAATTCATCGACTGGCCGCAAGAGGCTGGCTCCAAAAGGGAGTCAGTCCCATAGACTCCCCATGTTAAAATGCCCAAATTTACAGCAGAAAAAAAAATGTTTGCAGCCTGGTACAAAAAGTGGTTTTGGCCTATATAGCTAATTTAGCCCTTCATGAGAACTGTGAAGGGGGGGGGGGGGTTATAACTCATCCGTTTAAATTATATTAAGCCTTAAAGTTCTGCATAATTAAGGGCGTGACCACTTGAGTGACAGGTGGATTGCCACTGCTGTCACCACCGTCGAGCTAAGTGGGCGTGGATTCGGCAACCAGCTCCCGCCTCTTTGCCCATTTTCGATTATCCGGCAGTGACGCGCGGTGACACGCTACCAAGATGACGGCCGGCTCCGCTTATATATATATATATATATATATATATATATATATATATATATATATATATATATATATATATATATATATATATATGCATGAACAATGAGATCAACTGTCTCTCAACAATAACACAAATGTCTGTCACAACAATCATAGTACAGATTAATATAGAATATAAATTATACCAGTACAATGAACACAAGCCTAAATATGACACCCTTTAAAATTCAACAAAGCAAATTCACAACAGTGGTAAACAATTTTTTTTAACCAATGTTTATTGTATGTTTATTGTATAAGTCATTAAATTCAGCTACACATTTATGTACACACACATAATCTTAAGGCATTGGTGGCCTAAAGTCTATAATGTTCCACTTTTTCTTTACTCTTGTTTTCTTTCTTTTTTAATTTCTTTTTTTTTTATTCCCCTAGTTTTGTTTATACAATACACAGATTAAATTTAAAATCCTTTCAAATTCTTACAGTATTACACGAAAGTAATAAAAGAGCTTCTAGCATAACATAACTAATATTCATTCAAAAAATAAATAAATGAATACAAATAAAAATAATCTTCTTTGTGTTGTACAACCTGACATATCAGAATATACACTATCAGACGTGCAGACCAGAATAAATCCAGCAGGTGGGGAGGATACACATTTTCATTTGTTTGGTTGATTATTTCATTTATTTGGTTGATTTTTTTTTCTTAATCAGAAGACTAATCCTTTGTAGTTCAGCAATAACTTGTAGGTAGAAAACTTTAATTTAAGTCTGTGGAGGGTAATAACATGTTGCATAACAAACGACATGTTGTACAGTGTATCATTTATTTGAGTTTTCTATTACTAGCCAACATCAACAGCCAGTTGCAACACAAGGTTTTCTCCTAGAACTCTAGATCACACACTCTACATGGAGACGCATTTCCGTAGGCTATGGACTTTACTACGAGTTGGTGGCAGCATCCATCCTTTCTTTCAGGATTTGTTCTATGAAACGTATCAAAACACGTATTGCTGGGGTGGAGATATCAGTGCATGGAGGTCAGTAGATGTAACAACTAGACATCTGGCTTCAGTTCGAAGCGTCGGAAGATGCTTACAGCTCCAGGCATTCAAGAACAACACTCATCAGTTTCACAAGACTCTTTTTTGAGCTACAAAACACCTTTTGACAACATGTTTACATTGGGAGTATATAACATTTATTTTACTATATATACTGTATATATATATATGTATATATATATTTTTTTTTGTCAGTTAAGGCCTGTTCACACCAAGGATGATAACTATAACGGTAATGATATAGATATAGTTTTCAAATCATTATAAATTCAAAAGAATATTCTACATCACAGCTATAACGAAAATGACACAAAGGAACGATATTGTTAGAATCACTTCCAGAACTATTTTTTTTCCAGCTGATGAACAATAAAATGATTGACAGCCAATCAGAATCCACCTGACTTTAAAGAGCTTGAGCATTTAAAGCAGCAGATAACAAAGCTGCAGTGTGGACTTTATATTAAAAAGAAAGTAATGCATTGGTATTGATGTTAATATAGTTAGCGTTATTGGTGTGGCCTTTACTCTTTTTATATATAGCATATTTACATAAATTTATCTTTAAAATATTTATGAATTACTTAATTTGAACTCTTATGTTCTGTCTCATGCTCAGTTATTAAAATGGCCTTAGGATATATTTGCAATGCACATGTACAGGTATAGATTTTTTTTTTCTTTTTAAATAAAAATAAATGTCCTGAGACAGAAATTAGCACAAAGGTAGATTAGATTTGTCATTATGAAATCTTTTTCAATGATGGATCTCTTCACCAGCTGTGTTGTACAAATTGCTCTGTACAAATTATTTAACAATCAATCACAAATAAAATACGAGTCCACTAAACAGATTACAAAAGATTAAATTAAGATAATAATATTTGTATTGTTGTTTTTATATAAATGGTACCTTCTGTATTTATTTACACTTCTTGGTGATTGGTGATTCACTCTTTGGAGAACATCACTTTAATTAAATCTCAAAATCCTTGACGTGATGAGAATAGGTTTGCTATTTGTTTTAGAAAGCACAATCTGTCTTCAGCTTGCATGAGCCAGTAATAGATCATAATGCTTTCTGAGTAAAATCTGTCCACTGCCTTAGTAACAGATACTGCTTAAGCCTGGTTACAAGGCTGTGATAAGCTGCCTGCAAAAGAGATGAATGTTTTAATACATCTAAAAAAAAAGGTTTAAAAGGACCTTTAGGCTTGACCTGTGTCTTCAAATCCAATCTTTCAGACCGAATGTCATTGTGTCAGTGATGTAATTTGATCCGTTTGTACAGATAGTTTAGTTCATATCCGGTGTATCTAAAGTAGTTGCTTTAGGAAAGATGTAAGAGTCCAGAAAACTGAGAAAGAAAAAAATAAATAAAATAAAAAATAAAAACTCCCTCAGCTCATGTCCATTATAATATCTTCCTCTCGTACTGAACTCCTGAAGCACATGAGAGAACATGAGTGGCATTTTATACATTCATGCGTATGCACATAATGAGAGAAAATCTTCATACAAAGCTTGAGACAACACTGCATTTTTTTTACTTTTTCAACCTAAAGGCTGAGTTGAGATGGTTGGATAAAGATGCTAGGTTGAACAACACAGAATGGCACTTGAGAGGAGTGATTAAAAACACTGTAAACGGAGAGGGTACAATCCTGTCGATTCACTATAATACACAGCTTATTCCAGACTTTCAGTGTTTATTAAAGGCTTTCAGTCTGTTTTTCTTGGCGGCACTCAGCCTGATGGTTTGACTGTAGTGTTAGTAGTGTATTCGTTGATGTGAACAAAGTAAATGGTAAATTATTTTTTTATATTTAAAATTAAACTTTTCAAAAGCACTTTTATTTAACTTGATAAGCTGTATAATTACTGGGTTGCCATTCTTTTCTGCACTTTTTCTCACACATTTATGGATTTATGTTTGATTTGATATGATTTATATTGCCTATATTTTTGTCAATTCCTGGGTGTTTTTGCTTAATAAATCTTCACCTTTTTTATTATTACTGTTGTTGGTATTTTTACTGTAGTCATTATGTGTGTGATTTTAATTTCCAACCCATATTGGGTTCAACTGAACCCAGCAGATTAGTAATTTGTAAACAATAATTGAGTTAAATAAAGCCTAACATGTTGGGTCAAACATTTAACCCAACCCAGCTGGGTCAGAACAACCTAGTGCTAGGTTTGTTCCTTTTTGACCCAGTGCTGACCCAATTTGGGTCGTTTTTGACCTAGCATTTTTAGAGTGCAGAAAAATGACTTGAAATCCAATCAGACTGAAATGCATTCCAAAAAAATCAAATTTTAAAGCCACATATGGATGTGGTTTGTAAAAATCAGATGCCATGTGTATGTTCTGACTACAAAAGCTCTTCTGACTAAACCGATTTTAGGCAAATACGCCAAAAATCTGTCTTCTGTCTGTGTGAAGTTGGCTGCCTTAGTGTTTTTTGTCATCTTGACTGATGAGGCTGATAAACTTTTGTATTTTCATCATGCTGTCTACAAACTTTGTCTGTGACAAGGAGAAACGTTTCGAGGATAGACTACACAGCACAGCCGACGAGAGCTGAGAGAACACTTAATTTGACTGTTGGTTAAACATCATGAAGCATGTGATTAGTTTAAGTTTCAGATTATATCCTATTAATCAGAAGAGAGCTGTGGGCCACAACAACACAATGTGTTCGACCCTCTCGCAGACTTCTCAAACACACCTCAGGGAAATCAATGTTTTACAGCCCTTACATTTTCAGCTATCATACCCAAACTCAGAGCACTTACAACAGTGAAATGCCTCCAGACAGAGGCAGGCACTATGATGTCCGACTAATTATAGAGAAACAGCTCATTTATGAAATGAATTTTCCACAGTCATAGGAGATCTCTAAACACTAATTGTTTTACTGGATTTACCTAGCAGATGTTGTTTCTGTCTGTTCAGCCGTATTTATTTAAGTGTTTAGAGTTTAACCGATTCCATGTTCTGCAAATCCAAAACCATTATGTCAGATGTTTCCTTCGTGAGAGCATTTCCTGCATTTTTTTTTTGTTTTGCACTAGAAAAGCCCCATGGTGGACTGCCATAGGTTATTTAACTCTGAATACGCAACAGGGTCATATCCACATTATCCTTCACAATCGACATCTGTGCAGCCTACAGCAGGCTATGGTTAATTTTACTGAATTTAAGGTTCACTAAGCATTCAAACACAAATTCGTTATGTGATAATTATAGTTTTTTCTCTCACTTTTGGACTCTTTCATAAACGTAGATGCTTTATAGGAAAACAAGTTGCATGCCAGTTGTTTTTCACAAGAAACACATGTTTTCTCAATCTGGATCCAAACCTGAGTAAGTCAGACATCTGTTTCGCAAACATCTTCACAGGAGGATCTCTACCACTGGCTATATATTAGTCTCATAAAAAAGGAGTCATGGTGGGCTTGGAAAGGTCAGAACTAAATGCATCTGCTTACCTCATTTCTCTTCTCATTAGAATAAAGCAAAGACATCTGCCAAACAACATTTTTTTAAGACCGAGTGATGCAATGCAATTTAAAGATTGGCTCATATAACGTATTTTGATCCTTTTTCAAAGCACACAATCAAGAAGAGCTCAAATGATCATTTTCGACTATGAGCGCCGTCACCTTTTCCTATCCAAAAATAACTGAACTAATGGGATGCTGTTTTATAATGTCAGAAACGAGCAACTCTAACAACATTGTCTGGGTGATCCCATAAAAATAATCTTTGTTTGTGGTCCTGAATACCGACCCATTACCGAAGTCATGAGCGGCACAGGGGAGCGATGCCATTAAAACCCTGGCTGGTACATTGGGGAAAGTTTGGACGGCCAAGTGGCATAAATTTAATGGGGGAACTGACAGGTTTTAAGGGCTGTTCTGTGATGGACGGTCATCAGGGCTGGAGGATAACAAGATATCAGTGTAATGTTGACACTGTTCACTGAAAAGTAAGTTCAGGGACAGATGCACATTGATTAGAAAGTCATGTTTAGCCAGTGGAAAAACAGTGGAACACAGAAATCAGGAAAGAAAGGGACAGACTATTGGAGCTCTCATCTCTCATCAGTAGGTGGCAAATTAAATAGGAAGGAAAGTAATATGGATATTTTGGGAGCATTTATGCTGGTTCCTGCTTGGTTATGGTCATGCTCAACTGCAAAAAATAAAAATAAAAAATAAAATGATTGCTAGTATGTCGGCATTTTTTTTTTTTTTTTGATACAGAGCAAACAAAGTTTTGCTCTTTGGTGGAATGTATGCTCAACTGCACCAATTGACGTGAGGAATCATTTTGCACATGATGGTTGAATTGAGCATGAGCAATGTAAAGTACAAAGACAAAGGTGACTCAATACCATGTTTTAAACAAGTGTTTCCCATCCATTTTTGCCGTATGTATCCCAAAGCCCAATCTGTAAAGCTCAAGCATCCCTTCATCAACCCCAAACCTGAATTGTGAATTTTGGTGAAAACACATATTCGTAGTAATCAAGGATCATAAAACAAGTCTTATAACTGAAATGTATGCTGTTCAAATTAATCATTTATGTAAGAATTATTTTTTGCCCATTATTTTGTTTTTTATTATTATTATTATTATTATTATTTTATAGTGGAGTATCACACTTGACCATTAAGTGACGAATACCAAAGGGATAATGGTAGAATTTTTTGGATAAAAAAAGGAAACAGATTTTCAAGCCCTGAAATAATGAATCAAATCAGTCACAATCCAATGACTCCTACAATCAGATTAATTTTAATAAATTAGTCAAAACGACTCACAACTAAAACTCAGTTATGAGTCTGAATTTCTTTAATGACTCAGAATTCAGAACAGTTCTTGGCTGAATCATTACTTCCATCATATCCTAGTGGAAATAATTCAAGAATTATTTTTGTATTGTGTATAATTAAGGCTCATTAAATAAACATACTGATCTAAATAGTAGTTAAACATTTGGATAAGAGTTTAGACAAGGAGGGTATTCTTCTGTAATATATAGGACTAATTTAGACTAATTCTTTAATGATTCTATTAATGAAATGAATCAGTAAGGAACTGGAATCATAAAGTGGAATCAGAATCGTTACATTATTTATGATACCCAACCCTTGTGTCTTCACTAAACAATAACCTTCATAAGACCTCACAGCAGGTTGTATTTTGACATTCTTGAGTTTGTTTGTTTTTTTTCACAAATTGTTACTTTTAAAATGGGAAAGGAAATGACATTTCACTAATTCAAATGAAAGCATTTATGGGTAGAGTGGTGACTCAGCGCTGGAGTGTTTGAATGCAATTACTGCAGCACAGGGGAAATGGGGGCATACTTATAACATTAATAGAATGTGATTTAGCGTAGAACAGCGGAATTCAGGAGGGGACATAATCTAAGCAATCCAGCAGATATTAACTTGTAAGAGCTCCAACAATGAGCAATTTAAGGGTAATATTCAAGTTTATATTTCCTGCTTTTTTTTCTTATTGCTAGTGTGTATAATTAAGGCTCATGAGACTTTAATAAACATACAGATCTAAGCAGCAGTTAAACATTTGGAAAATAGTTTAGAAATTGTATAAGTAATACTCTATGAAAAAGGGAGTATTCTAGTTCTTTAAAGATTCTATTAATGAACTGAATCAGTAAGGAACTGGAATCATAAAGTGCAATCTGAATCATTTCATTCTTTCTGATTCCCAACCCTTGTGTCTTTCACTACACAATGACCTTCATAAGACCCCACAGCAGTTTGTATTTTGACATTCTTGAGCTTCCATATTTTGCACAAATTGTTACGAATAAAATGGGAAAGGAAATGACATTTCACTAATTCAAAGGAAAACATCTTAATGGGTACAGTGGTGACTCAGCACTGAAGCGTTTAAATGCTTGATCACTGCAGCCCAGGGGAAATGGAGACATATATAAAATTAATAAAATGTGATTTAGCGTAGAACAGTGTAATTCAAGATGAGACATAATCAAAGCAATCCAGCATATATTATCTTGTAAGAGCTCCATCAATGAGCAATTTAAGGGTAATATTCAAGTTTATATTTCCTGCTTTTTTTTCTTATTGCTTTTTTTATGGGTGGTTGCGGAAATGTTGCACAGCTGCAATTATATTTCGAAAATCCAATAGGTCACATTTCATTACTTAGGAAATTGAGCCTCATTCACAAACAGATGGACATGACTGTACACACAAACAAATAAATCCTCAGGGTAGGTCATCTAATACAATCACAGTGACTAGCGCAGTTAGTACCCTATGGGACAGTCTGGGGCTTGCTAAAACCTGACACTAAATTAGACTGTAATGTGTTATTGACTTCATAAATGTCTCACCACTCTGTCCCTTCTTCTGCTCCATTTCAAACTGTATTCCACGGTAGAGTTCTCGAGAAATGAGCCCATAAGCGATGATCATCACCACTCCAGGAATGAAGAACAGAACAAATAGCAACAGGATGCACCTGAAACACAAGGGGACATGAAAAGAGTTTGAAACCTTGTTTATTAAAGGAATAGTTTACCCAATTGTGAAATTTTCTGGAAATGTAGTCATCCTCAGGCCATTCAAGATTCCAAGATTAATGGGAACATATTTGGAGAAATTTAGCATTACATCACTTGCTCTGCAGTGAATGGGTGCCGTCAGAATGAGAGTCCAAACAGCTATCTATCAATTAATGTCTTGTGAAGTTAAAATGTTAAGACGTTTTTAATTTCAAATTGATGCTTACGACTAAAATATGTCTTCTATCCATAATATTGTTTTCTCCAATGAAATATTGGTCTCACATAAATCAGGAGAGAAATATGCCAGATCAAACAAGTGAAAACAGTCCAAAAACAGTGTATTTTGATGACAGGACAACATTTTCACTAGAGGAAGCGTTATTATAGGTTATGGCCAGAAGTGATAGTTTAAAGTCAGAATGCCTTAATAATTTATTTGTTTCTTACAGACACGCAGCTTTTCACTTAAGAAATTAATTGATGGACTGGAGTCATGTACATTACTTGTTGATTATTGTGATGTTTTTATCAGCTGTTTGAAGTTAAAATGTTAAGACGTTTTTAATTTCAAATTGATGCTTACGACTAAAATATGTCTTCTATCCATAATATTGTTTTCTCCAATGAAATATTGGTCTCACATAAATCAGGAGAGAAATATGCCAGATCAAACAAGTGAAAACAGTCCAAAAACAGTGTATTTTGATGACAGGACAACATTTTCACTAGAGGAAGCGTTATTATAGGTTATGGCCAGAAGTGATAGTTTAAAGTCAGAATGCCTTAATAATTTATTTGTTTCTTACAGACACGCAGCTTTTCACTTAAGAAATTAATTGATGGACTGGAGTCATGTACATTACTTGTTGATTATTGTGATGTTTTTATCAGCTGTTTGGACTCATTCTGACGGCACCCATTCACTGCAGAGGATCCACTGATCCACTGATAAGTGATGTAATGCTAAATTTCCCTAAACCTGTTCAGATGAAGAAACAAACCAATTTATATCTTGGATGGCCTGAGGTTGAGTATGCATTCAGCAAATTTTCATTTTGGGCTGAACTATTCCTTTAAGATATAAATAATCACACTCACTTTTATGCAAGGGTAGCCACTTATTGTCTGATTTAATGAAAACTGTTTCACTTAGATTATTCAAAACATTGTTTGTTCAACAAAATATTTATTTATTCTGATTCTAATTCTGAATTAATTTAAATATCAATAATTATCCTCAGAAATGTGTGGTCATGCATTCGCAGAGCTTGAAGGGAACATTGTGATGGGCCTAACAACACCTCTTCCCTGTAGTAAAACCCTTATTATGCCCAGCCTCTCGTGGGTCATTGCTGTAACAGAATATGCAGAAAGAATAAGAAAAATGTACAAGCAAACTCAGAGCATGGAACATGGAGAGCGAGTACTGTTGTTGTCCGTTGCTGTCTACCTAGCAACAGCTGTTATAAAACATAAATGTGCCACAAGAGGCACCCAGCTGATGTTTAAGACCCCGGCTCCTCATCAGTGTGCTGCAGAATGACCCTGTCTCCGTTTCTCTGTCTTTGCCTCTCATATTGAGACCAACGCAGTCAATCATGTTATATGAGTGATAACAGGATTATTTTCCCATTAAAGGAGATTTTCAGAGTTCAAAACAACTTAAGCTCTAAAGACAGCATCTGTGGCATGCTCTTGATTACAACAGACAATCGTTTTAAGTACATTAGTATACAAATAAACATTGTGTTTAAAATATGTTTTTTATGTCTTTGATAAAAAGTACAGTAAAAACAGCAATATTGTAAAATATTACAATATTAAAATAACTGTTTTATTTGTTTGATTGTTGTATTTTATTTACAAAGTTGCAATTTCAGCATCATTACACCAGTTTTCAGTGTCACATGATCCTTTGGAAATGCTGATTTGCTGCTCAAGAATCATTTCAAATGTTAAAAACAATGGAGCTGCTTAATATTTTTATGGAAATCTTTGGTAGTGTAAACCCTATGACCCTATCAAAAAATTGCTTCAAAATATTGTTAGTTAATGCATCGCAGTCTGACACTTGATGTAACTGTCCAAGCTGTGTTGTAGTGGTTTGTGCATGTGCTCAGGACATATATATGCACTGCTGGCTCTGGAGGAACCAGATTTGAGTCTGATCTAGGTCAGGTGAGCGTGATTTCTCCAAGTGCAACATGTTCCTGGATCAACATCCTTATTGATCCTGGAACAACATTCCAATTAACCAATCAGAATTGAGGGATAACTTTTCAGGAAATATCTGTTTTAGGCTTACGATCAGGGTTAGGTGCTTCTACACCCTTGTTAATCAGCTATCATTTCACACTGATTTTAGGAATAAATTGTGGGTATGGTTAGGTTTAGAGGTAGGGATTGGGTTTAGTCTATATTTTTGGACAGTAATGTTGATCCAGGATCAACAAAAGTTGTTGATCCAGGAACATGTTGCACTTGGCAAAATCACGTCGACCATCTAGGTCATGTCCTTTTTCCACTTAACTGTCATATAAAATAAAAGCATATGAGCACTTACCACGCTTGCTCCACCTCGCTCTTTGGCCAGTCATGGCGGCACATGTGAGCTGTAATATTGTTGGGCTTGGTGAACTTCACCAGTGTGCTGAAGATGGGATAGGGTGTCATAATGAGGAAGGACAGGACCCAGGTGGAAGCGATGACTTTGTAGGCATGGGATCGAGTCTGCCATGCCCGGGACTTTAGTGGGTCGCAAATGGCACTGTACCTCTCAATGGCTATAGCCACCAGACTAAAGGTAGATATGCAGACGGAGATTCCTGTAATAAAGCAAAAATTACAATGAAAAAATTTATTGTAATTTCAACTGTAAAAGACTGTAAAAATTCTATGGTACGAACCTGTTGACTGGTTGATTAGTAAGTTACCTTACTATAAATGGTGGAAAACTGTAAGAAATCTAACAAGACATTTCACAATTGATAGTAATTTTGCAATATACAATTTTACAGTAAAATATTGTTACATGTACAGTTTTTGGAAGTGAAAAAATTATCTAGTAATTTACCTAAACCCTAAACTGGCATTCACAGAATTCCCAGTGTAACAGCTCATATTTTATGTTTTTTTTTTAATTTAAATTTCTTAGTTTGTATTAGTATTTATCAGTTATTATGTAGTTTAGGGTTTTATGTTGATGTTTATTGCATTATTTTAGTGTCATGCTTTTTTTTGTCAACATATCCTATACATTAGTAATTACCCTTGTAAATTTAACTTAAATCCATAATAAAATAATGCTACCATGTTGTATACATGTCATTGTTTACCGTACATTTCAGTGATTTTTTTTTTAAGAAATTGGCTCATTTGCATTGAGCCAAGAGTCAAGATCTTGTCTAAATGATTTATCCACCAAATTTTCTGATTCAGTTGCTCTTATCGCTATATGTATTCACTGCAAATCTTTCTTTTTTTCCCCAAAATCTTGATGCCTTACAAAACTGAAAGTGACAAAATTTTTAATAAAAATTCTTCTAAAAATACAAAGCTTAGTGAGAAACATTGCAAAATGGCATTCTTGTTGGCAGGTGCTGAAAAGTGAGATTTCCGACAGTCCCTCATGTTTGAGGAATACTGCCCGATGGCCCGAGAGCTTTGATCTGATATCGCCCTCTGCACCAGAGCTCATACCAAGGAAATTGTTCTTTCCTTTACAAATCCCCTTCCTTCTATGCCCCCGCGAAAAACAAACAGTGGGAGGGAGGTTGTGGTTGGCACAGCGTGTTGAATGTGCTGCCCTGTCGCACTCTGACACTCAGGCCCGGATTAAGAACACATAGGGCCCTGGGGCTATAGCAAACCCAAGGGCCCCCCTTCATAGTAGCGTATCTTGGTGCCACAAAGTTTTCTACCACAGGAATAATTTGTTTTAAAATTTGTCTCCAACACACAGAGATACAATGAGTATGCACATTAAATATTCCAGGCTACAATACGTTAAAATAATGAATACATTAACACTAGATATGAAGTCAAAGCAGACAGGTTTCCAGAAGCAGCAACAACTTTTGAGCATATACAGCTCCCTTAAGGAGTTTATTTTAAATAGTTTTATTATTAGAAGGTCATCTTTCTGGCCCTAGAAGAGGAGAATCATCAGGGCTGGACTGGTGCTAAAATTCAGGCCATCTGGCCCACACAGTCCCCCATAAATGTTTTGCTGGGGTTACGGCAGTTGGAATAAATAAATTATTTATTAATAAATAACGGATGAAAATAAATTATATTTTTGAATTCTAAAATGCATTTAACAATATTAATATTCCATTATATTGCAGGATCTCAATTATTGAATTCATATTTTTTCTGCAATTAAAGTTTATTAGAACTATTAAATTCTCCTTTGTAGTTGCCCTAATGAAAAGCTAATTCTTGAATCAAGAGTTAACTATAGTATTAGTAAACCCTTATAAAAGTGACTTATTGCCTTTATTTGAACCAATATTTAATAGGCTATAATTAGCTTATAATAATTTTCGTGGCATTAATAATAAATATCATTAATGCCATATTTATACAGTGTCAGTAAATGCATGTTAAATAGCCTAGGTGTGGTGTTGTGGATTAAATTTCATTTAATCGTTTCATCACTTGGCTTTTAGTGTTTGTTTCCCATGCACTACAGTAAAGCCAAGGTGATTAAAAGATACCCACAACTCTAGTGTAAACGAAATACATTTTTATCGCTCATATCTTTTGGACTGAAATAGCGCAGACACTGATATGTGGGGGCGTGGTGGGATTTCTGCAATCGGGGGAAAGCTCGGGTGGTCCCGATGGCCAATCAATAGGTCTACTTTTCCTTTCCTCCACAGCCAATCACGTCGGGCCCCCTCAATCCGCGGGCCCTGGGGCTTCAGCCTCGCCTAGCCCTTATGTTAATCCGGCCCTGCTGACACTGTGTGGGCCGCGGGCACTCGCACACACTCAAGCAAATAAGATCTGCTCTCTTGTGAACTGTGTCACCTCCAGGGCCTCCACCAGACAGTCAAGATAATGCAGGAGAAAAACATCCTTTAGAAACGCTATCTGATCACCCGTGCATGCCAGTAAAAAAAAAAAAAAAAAAAGAACATGACAGTGTAATTGTTTTCAGGCCACTGTACCTGAATAGTTCCTTGTGCCTGTAACTTTTATGCAAATGCAAAACAATAGTGTCCACTGATGTCCAAAACAGAACTGTCTTTTGATTTTTTTTGCCCCTTCAAGCCATTTGCCAGCAGCCCATGTGTGTCAGATCTGACCTTGGCATTGTGTCGGCTGTTGCTGGGTGAGCCTTGACTTTCATTTAGGGAGGCAGTGATCCATGAAACAGTGCAGATCAAGATGGATGCATGCATACATATGTCTACATCAGTTGCCAATTTCTCAACGCGAGTGTGGGTGCCAAAATCTGACATCCTGGTAATTGTATTACAAATGAAGAGTAGTCTCACCTAGCCAGTTTGACTTGTGTTTTATAGTGTGGCTCATATCGCAGATTATTTGTGTTGTTTTTACAGTACAGTATTGTTAATGAGCCAAACCCTGAAATACATGATACCATAATAATATATTATTATTTAAAATACAATGCAACAGTTTTTGCAATTTGTACAGGAAACACCAAAGTGTGTAAACCATAGCTGTCACATCACTTTAAGTTTTAATATTAAGTTTTTTGGTTAGTATGTGTGAATAAGGACTGTATCAGTTTGTTATTTGCCTAGTAAATGACAAGAAAATATTTAGTTTTAAGCAAGTTTTTGACAGATTCCTAAAATATTTGTGATTTCTCTTTATTATGACTGGTGGTCTAATAATTTTGTTAAGCACATACCACCTGTCATAATAAAGAGAAAACACAAATAGTACACAAATAAACATACAGTGTTCAACAAATTTATTGGACTGTATTTGTTGACTGTAATTGGGCATCTGAATTAAAAATAATAACAATAAAGTGATTTGCTTTTTTCTGCCTTTCATGCAAAACAGTAAATTCAAAAATTCATGGGTAACAAAATTAATTATATTTTAGCATTACAAATACTACTGTGACTAAAGAGCTTACACATACTGGTGGATTAAAAATTACAATTACAATTACAATTAACCAATACTGTTAGTTTAGGTCAGCTGTGGCACAAACCTTACATTTGGGTGGTATTTGTTGTTAAGCACTGTGTGTGTATGTATATATATATATATATATATATATATATATATATGGCCATGAATTAAGATTTCGTTCCCACAACTGGTTTATTCATGGCCATGAATTACTAAGTTAAATCGAAACAGAAATTTTTTTTATAATAATTACAAAATCAATTAGAATTAGAACCAGTTCAGATTTTGCTGTAAAGTAGCTAAAGGGCAATAGTGTAATAATTGAGCTTAAGTCATTTCAGTGTTTGGTTCAGTTCAGATCAATTACACAGTGAAATTCATCAATTTAAAATGAGTTCAATTCAGCTATAAGCAGTTCTTCAAAAGGCATCAATGTCGTTATTCAGTTTGAGTCAGTCAGTGTGGCCATACTGATGATCAATTATTTAAAGTTAACTAAGCAAGCCAGAAGGCATTAATGTTCAATAGTATTTTAAATTTGTAAAATGAAAGTTGACCTAATCTAATTGTGTTGCCACAACATGAATAATTTTTGTTGGCATTAACTGAACCAACAAAAGAAGTGAAAAGAGTGAAAAACAGAAATGTCTAAATAATAGTTCAAGTGATAATTCTTCATCCCTGGGTCTAGACAGCATCGGGCCATCGCTACGATTGAGACACCAAATCCTCTAATCATCTATTAAAAAGTGCTCGTTACTATACCATGCCTTCTACTACTCAGTTTTATTGCTTTTCTCCATCACTATATGATCAATTTCTACTGACATAATCAAAAGAAAATGTAACCAAACATTTTTTTTAAAATCAAAGGCGTGTTTTTACAGAATAACTTAATTTAAATATTCATGTCACAGTACTATTGCAATCCCAACTGCGCCTGCATAGACTAAATTAAAAAGTAGAAATAATGAGTGTCTTTAGATTTAAAGCCAAATAAAGTTCTGAAGATCTAGGCAAGAGCACTTGAAGCTTGTGATTTTTACCAGTGCTTATTAAGACTTGTTATGCCAGCAGGATATCCAATGCAAAGAAGTTGTTCTGCTCTTTGTGATTTAGTGGGCTACATTAATAACATGCTCATTTAAGGTTAGAAGACATGAAAGTCCATCTCACCCATAAGATAGGCCACAATCTTGCACATGGCAGCTCCAAAGATGAAATCCTCCAGCAGGTTGGGAATAAGAGTGAAGGGCATGCAGAAAACAGCCATCATGAGATCACTAATGGCCAGGGAGAGCAGGAATGAGTTGGTCACCGTCCACATTCGCTTATTCACCACCAAAACCACAATGATGAGCAGGTTACCAAACACACTCAGCAGGAATATGAGAGAGTATAGCAGTATGCGCAGCGAATCCATTTCTGAAAGACAAAGATCAAATAAAAGATTAACATATTAAAGGCTTTTAAAATTGCAAAATATAAGCAATGCTTATCCTTATAAAGTCTAGTGTGTCATATTAGCAAGTATTCTCACTGATTGAAAGATTTTTCTGACTATTATTTCACATGTAAGGCTTTACAGGGTTAATAATAAGAAAACAAGGAAAACAAGTCAGCCAATGATGAGTTAAAAACCTATAGACGGTGAAGATGTGGGAGGAGGGTTTAAGAGGCATTTAACTGCTCAGTTGAAAATCACTAATCACCTTTAAATATGTCAGATCATTGCATATACATTTAATTATAATAATGTTCAATATGCCTCAGTTAACGAAACTCTCCACATTCTCCTTTGATTACTTTTTGAGTTAAATTATATATAATTGCTAGCACATGGTCATTTCTACATTTTGAGCTGCCAAAAAAAAAAAACACTGAAATCTTCCTTCCTGAAGACAGGTAAGATACTACCAAAGAAAACAAAACAATTTGTAACAATTTAATGAATCTTTGTGACATGTTAGGTAGAGTGTTTAATTAACAAGCAACAATACTGAGATTCAAATTCAGTTAATAAACCAAAACAAATGTACTGGACTGACTAAAATTAGACTGCATGATTCCTGCCACTGCATTTTACACTTTTTTTTATTACAATGAACTTAATAATGAATTGTACATTTTTGTACTCCACAGCGATCTAAACCCCCCAGATAACATACATTGTTTTAGCAAGTTAAATCTATAAATTTGCTATGTGCTGTCAGGTTCCCTTTCATGCGAACTTCGAACTGTGTCCTCTAGGGGTCGCTATGGGGAACACCTCGTCGTGACCCGTGTCTGAAGCATACATTGAAAAAACACCAACTCGTTGGCCGGCGACAGCCATGACGTCACTACCGGTGCAACTACAGTATAAATAGGCACCGGGAGCTACACATCATTCTCTTCTTCGTCTTCATTGACTGTTTTGTTTGAAGTGTGCATTTCTGTGGTAAGAGCAATCTCTATTTATCTCATTATGGCGAGCACTAGCAAAGCATTTAAGGATGTGTGCATCCATGTTGACGTTGTTTAACATCTGATGACACACATGATATATGCGTTATTTGTTTGGGCAAAGAGCACGCACGCGATGTCTCCGAGGGGGCTCCGCTTTCGTTTGTCTCTCTTTTCGAGGAAAGAAGGTGTAAGGGAAACAGGTCAATTTAGCTCAAAGGGAATCATTTAAGATTTTAAAGGGAACTCCACCAATAATATGTAAGGGAATTACTAAAGTTTTAAAACCAAAACCATGTGAATGATGAGATAACAGTTGATTTATGAATGGGAAGGAGAAACATTGCAACACCCCGAGCTACAATTGGTCGAGACACCATTTGGGGTTTGATGGTGTTTCTAGTATTTAAACCAGGCTGTTTAACACACCCCAAATGGTGTCTCGACCAATTGTAGCTCGGGGTGTTGCAATGTTTCTCCTTCCCATTCATAAATCAACTGTTATCTCATCATTCACATGGTTTTGGTTTTCCCGCCCTTGCAGAATATAATTTTGGACATGATTTCTTATAACAAGAATACGATACATTTGACCAATAATTGATTGGAAGAAACGTTTCAAGCATGAAGATTCAATTTCCTGCATTATAGTCTCCTATACTGGACCTATTAGGTTTGGTTGGTTCTATGGCTTCATAGTGACCATCTTACTGATGGTCCGGTCTAGAGGCTTCTTCGGACAGAGCTCCGACGCGGGAACCATGGTGGGTGAGTACGATCCATGTCTAATATATGTATATATGAATATATATGTGTATCTAACGAGACTGGTGGTTGTGTGTATAACCCTTCTGCTAGTTTTCTTTGCAGTGTTTCCCGGGACCTGTGTGTTTCTGTTCCTTTTCTAGGGTAGGTCCTCGATGAGCACCTCCTCTGCTGGGTTCAGAAACCGGGTGCTCGACTTACAGTGCGTATTTCACTTGTCGATATATGTCCAGACAGTAAGTAAAGCCGGTTTTTGGCTTCATACTTCCTGGATCATGCGGCCATAACACAGGCTTCTGCGGGAGCCTTCGTGTTCATCAGGCCCCGAGCGCATCACTACAAACATTTCCTGGACGTCCGGGCTGGGGTTACGCTTTCATGCTACCCTGACTGGTCTACTGTATCTGGGTCACCCTGAGGGGTTTCCCCGATCACCAGGATATCCCCTCTTGCTGAGGCATTGAGCGGGAGGCATTACGGCATTACGAGAACCTTCCTGTGTAAATGCTGTCTCGGGCAGTGCTCCCCTCTTCTTTGAGGGTTATATTTGAGCTTGCCTCTCCCGTTTGGCCCAGTACTTCTGGGTATCTGTAACAGATGCTTGGAAAACTCTAAATAAGTGCAGCACGTTAAGCTTTGCGCACTTTTCTCAAATCCACATAAGTGGTAAGTGTGCACGTTATGCTTTGCGCACTTTCTAAAATCCACATAGCTGGTAAGTGTGCACGTTATGCTTTGCCCACTTTTCTAAAATCCTGTATGGTAAGGGTTACGCGTTATTGACCTTGTTCCCTTTTTCTGAGTTGGTTAGACCCCGGTTCCTTGGGCTCCACTCAACTAGTGTGTCTCTGTCGACACACTCTGGAAGCATCGCTCCCCTCACCAGTGAGGGTTATTGTGAGTATGGTGCTTTCTTTCGAGCGTTAATCCTCTCTGAGGAGTTGGATTCCTCGCTCCATGGGCTGTCCTCGTGGTAGTTTGAGCAGTGCTCCCCTTTTATCAAAGGGTTACCTGGAATGAGCAACGTTATTTCCTCTGAATTCGGAGTTCTCCTCTTACATGAGAAGTTGAGTTCTCTGTTTTTCCT